TGGAGTGAGTCTCTTGAAGGGCCATGTCACTTAATGACTCACAGGGAATGGAATTTTCACCTAAAAACTCGTTCTGTGCGGAAGTCATATACAAATCAGCCTATTTATTGGCACCGTTACCGTCTGAAACATTTAGTGGCACTGATACTCTTTACTACATGTATTGTGGTACTAGTAATATTTAAGACGTGTATAGTGGCACTGGTACTCTCCAAAACGTGTATAGTGGCACTGGTACTCTCCAAGACGTGTATAGTGGCACTGGTACTCTCCAAGACGTGCATAGTGGCACTGGTACTCTCCAAGACGTGTATAATGGCACTGGTACTCTCCAAGACGTGTATAGTGGCACTGGTACTCTCCAAAACGTGTATAGTGGCACTGGTACTCTCCAAGACCTGTATAGTGGCACTGGTACTCTCCAAGACGTGTATAATGGCACTAGTACTCTCCAAGACGTGTATAGTGGCACTGATACTCTCCAAGACGTGTATAGTGGCACTGGTACTCTCCAAGACGTGTATAGTGGCACTGGTACTCTCCAAGACGTGTATAGTGGCACTGGTACTCTCCAAGACGTGTATAGTGGCACTGGTACTCTCCAAGACCTGTACTCTTTACGACGTTTGTACTGGGTGGTACTCTCAGGAACGTGTTTAATGTAAATTGTTGACAGGAGGGTAGAGAGAGAGTGTGTATAAGGTGAACCCATTACTGAGGGAAGCGTGTTAAAGTGGGTTGGTTATATAAGGGAGAGAGAGCTGGTAGGACCTCTTCTGGGGGCATAGGACAAGAAATGAGACAGGAGAGGAGAAGAGAGAGAGACTGAAAGACAAAGAAGACAACACAGAACGAAGATTGACCCAGACAGAAAGAAAAAATAAACAGACATTTACAAAAGAGACAGAGATAGAAAGAGGCAGAATGAAACAAAGAGAGACAGGCTAGTAGACAGACAGACACACAGACAGATAGACAGTTCGCATATGCAAGAAAAAAAAAACATCACACTTGTATTGTACACTGAGCGTCAAAACAGGAAATAAAAACACTGATTTTTGTATTCTTTTGGTTTAGTATTAGAAGGTCATAAAACACTTGTCTCCTTCTCGTTAAATGTTATACCCTGTAATTAGGAGGATAAACAGAACTTAAAGAATAATTTAGAATAAACTTTGTATGCATTGTTGAAGTTACGACGAATGATCATTTTTATGTTGACGTGACTTAAAGGTGTGGCCGTGCTCGCGAGATCACACACACACACACACACACACACACACACACACACACACACACAAACACACACACACACACTCGCTAGAAACAAAAATTGATTGCATGTTTGAATGTCAGAATTAAAAGCTAGATATATTTTACCTTTTAGCCAACTCAGAATACAAATTTAAGCAAAACGAAACATAAAAAACGGAATTGAAAAAGAATATTTTGTAAATCAAACGTGCAATGATTCTACTAATACAGGCGACGACAGAAAAATAGAAGAAAAATAATAATTCGTTGGGACCTGTAATTCCTAGCCAAGGAAAAAAAGAACAGTAGGCGCAATGTAGACAACGACACACGCACACACACACATTCATATCTCTTGTTTATGTATTTCCTGCACCATGCCGGCTCTTCACACATATTATTAGAACGAATATCTTAGCATTATCTGTAAACTTGAAAAAAAGTTTATCAAATACAAATTAAAAAAAAACGTATGGGTCATCAAGGTGAAGATGTATATTATTTTTCATGGCGTTTCCAACACACTGCTTTAACCTGACACTAGGTTCTACTTTTGAGGGGCACACGACCGCACGCCTGAATGCAATAACAGCAGAAATGCTGCCAATCTTTTGCTGTTACTTCAAGAAACTTGAGAAGCAAGGGGCCGCAACTTTATATTAGTTTCCCTCAAAAACATTCTCTAAATTCTTGAGCAACTTAACAAATTTATAAACCTTCCTTGATGTGAAGTGTCTCTGTTTAAGCTGCCACACCACACTCGTCTATCCTCGGGTGTAGAAGCTCTCTGACTGGCTTGTCCTGGTCAGCCCCCCAGATCCTCTTTCTCGTTTGTTTTATGCTCTTCTGTCTTCTTTCCTTGTAGTCTTGTCTTTGATGACGGATTATCTATCTTTGAGTTGCCACCACTTTCATTTTCCTAACATACAGTAATCTCCTTTCCTCTTCTCGTGTCCTTATCACTCAACATCTTCCACTCTTTCTCCAACTCTGTTGATATTATCTGTCTTGGGAACTTGGGTTATACTGTACATATTATACATTATACATATCTTCTTCGCTCATTGTTACAACCAGTTCACTGACGTTGTTACAGTCTTGTTAAGTCACAGTCTCTTTACGGACGAGAATAAACTGCGCTTATTTTTTTTCATTTAGGTGAAGAGAAATGCACAGCAGGTAAACCTCTTAACCATGAGTCACGTCCACCTCTAAGTCCTGAACCTTCCATTATTGACTCGTAGGAGAACAATCCCTCCATCCAATAGTATCTCCGCAGTGCTGACCTCTCTATAATTGAGGGAACACCTTCACTATTTGTTGCTCACTTCTTATACCTCTCACACCAGCCGAGAACCTTCGTTAATTTGAAGTATTAGTCATATAAGTCTACTCTCAGTGTTAAAGGACCGGACGTATTAATCATCATTGGGGGTAAAGAAAAGTCCATCAATCGAACAGTCAGCTCGCATTAATAATCTCGTCACCTCTCAGACGCGCCCTTATGGATGGAGACACCTTTCTGTTTATTCAGCGTCACTCCCACCCAGCCAGCCCGAACTGAGAGACTCACTATTTTATTTTTCAGCTTCTTGCAGGGAGTTCCACTTAAGGGCGCCTCCAATTTCAATGGGATTCTCAGTATTACCGAGCACTACATATCAAGTTGTGGTTTCCAGCACCCAACACAGAACTCGAATCAAATTCTATAGTCTCTTATTACGTCATTTCTTGGAATAAAATTTAGTGATTTTTCCCGGAGGAGAAGTGCAGCAGCCCGAGGGTGGTAATAACAAGTCCACGATCAATAAGGGAAAAAAATCATCAATTATAAAATTCCTGCAATTTCTTTGGTCTTCCAGGAAGCGTTGACAAGAATATAGTTAATCTTTTCTACTATACGTCCGATGCTCCAGGCTGTACCTATTAATTAATAACTCATAAAAATGAAGCCCTTTTTTATCTATGACACCAGCCTTCGAAGCTAACTTATTTAGCATCAGTTACCAGTATATAGTGTAAACATAGAAACAACAATAATGTGTAATATTTATAACAATAATAATAATAACAATAATAATAATAATAATAATAATAATAATAATAATAATAATAATGATGATGATGATGATGATGATGATGATGACATAAAGCAACAACAAAACACTCTATTACAACCTTTGAAGTTACTTATCATTTCCTCTTGTTGGACATTTAACCCTTTCACCGCGTGTCACGCACTTGCCATTTTATTCATCTTAGGGTAACCTCCCGCTGTGAAAGGGTTAAAGAGCAGATTCTCAGGTGTCCAGCATCGCGACTGTAACTTGTCAAAGACGTCACCACTTTCTCCCTTCTCTTGGGCTAAAGTCAGTCGACAGTAGAAATTCAAGACCGGGCATTGTATGACAGAACTCATTAAGATGATTGACCAGTTCATGAATAATACTCTCATTTATTTGTTCATCGTGGCAAGAGTCAGTGGCGTTCTATGGCTTAATCACAGGTTGTCCGTGAAACACACACACACACACACACACACACACACACACACACACACACACACACACGCACACACACACACACACACACACACACACACACACACACACACACACACACACACACACACACACACACACACACACACACACACACACACACACACACACATCACACACAAACACCCAACACACACACTCATACATATAATAATCCACTTAAAGTTTGAAGTATTTACCAACTCGCCCGTATTCCAAATGCATGTTTCAATCTACTAATGGCGTCTATATAGAATAACATATTCCAATTTTCATGCATTGTGAGCTAGACAAATGACTGACAAATATTTCCGTGGCAGGTCGCTTTGTTGCCTTGTCAGAACCCGCAGGAATATTGATGGATACATTTGTTAAAGCGTTGTTTAATGATGAATCCATTTTCGAAATTGTGTGAAAATGTGGGTCCAATCTATATAACTTTTAGTATATAGATTTGGGCACTTACCAGAGGGAAAAATATTTTGACTTTTATTACGATTATCTCAGGATGTGAATGGCTTTGTTATTGAGTTTAAGTGTTGCAAAATATACCTCACACACACACACACACACACACACACACACACACACACACACACACACACACACACACACACAAAAGAGAAGCCGCCTTGCTCTATTTCATGATATATTGTGTTTATACTGCCACCTACTGCTTTTTTTATATTTTTATCTTCTTAGTGTTTTATTTTCTAGAATACCATTTTTATTATTATTATTATTATGATTTATTATTATTATTATTATTATTATTATTATTATTATTACTATTATTATTATTATTATCACACTTGTACAAATGTATTAAGATTCTAGGTGTTACATAAATTATACGAACCAATGGTCGATGGTTTGATTCCCGGGCACTCCCAGTTCACCCAGCTGTAAATGGGTACCAAAGTTTACAACTTGGGGAAGTGAATGCGGTCGAGTGCAGTACCGACCATGCTGCCTCCCTGTGTACCGAGGGTTTAGTATACAGGTGTGCTGCATCCACACTGTCCCTCACGGGTGGGCATGCCTGTGGGACTCACTTTCATTTTTATCCTTTATTTTCATATTCATCAACTTCAATTTATTTACGTTTTTTTTCCTTTACTCCCATTAACAAAGTTGATTTTGTTTAGATAAATAAGGTTCTGTATTACTCCTAAATAACGTGCTTCGTATCTTTTGTTTCCCCGTCAGACACCGGTGGCTGGCAACGTGAGTGTGAGCACAGTGAAGCTGACGCCTGAGCCCGGAGACCATGGGGTGCCGCTCGTGTGTAAAGCCTTCAGCCCCAACCTGCCCGGCTCCGTCCTCCACGACCAGATCACCCTCGCTGTACACTGTGAGTGACACGGCCGTTTACTTTTACAACTTTAATCTTCCAGGATGAACAAATGTTATGCGATATCCTAGGATAATTAATGATGTGGTGAATCCCAGGTTGAATAATGGTATGACATGTGTTAGCGTGAACAACGATATAACTGATCCTAGGATAAACAGTGACGTAACATATCTCAGGATGAACAATGACTTAACATGTGCTAGAGTGAACAACAATAGTATGAATTAAGATGTAGCGAATTCAATGATGTGCCGGCATTTTTTTTTTTTTTACAGAGAGAAAAATATTACAGATAATAGAAATGTAATTATTTTATTCTTACAACAACAACAACAAACAAGAAGAATAAATAATCACAACAAACACACACACACAGACACACAAACAAAACAATAATAGTCCCCAATAAAAGACCCAATTAAAACACAACAAAAACAATCATAACAACAACACCAGCTGACCACCACCACCGCCACCAACTAAGCCAACTCACTTCACAGGCGGCACAAACACAAATAAGTACCAGTTACAAGAGCCATTTACTCGCAGTGTCCAAAATTTATGTTCTTTTCAACTCAGAGAAACACATTTCTTCAGTGAGCCAGACAGCGAGGAGGAGTGGACATTCTGCTACATTATAAACACATTCTATTGGTTAGGTTATAGTACACTCATAAAGGTGATATTAATAGTTTTATTGATATTAACTTTGAAATCAATAGTGGTAATTGAGATAATGTTTGTAATTATATTGATACTAGTAATGATAATGATGATTTATAGTTATCAAAATAATTATATATAATGATAAGTACTATACCAAAAGAAGAAAAACTATAATGCTATTTGTAATAAAAAAAATAATAATGATATTGATAATAATTTTTAGTCCGATTTTAGCATTTTGTTGCGTCAGCCTATTGTCTTAAATATCCTGGGCTTCACCACCAAGATATTAATACCAGCAGTAGTTAACAGTCACAAGATCAAAACGCCGTGGGAAAAGAAAACGTGTTGTGTTTGTTTCAATAAATGGAATCTTTTTATAAAAATAGTCAGATGCATCAGAGTAACAGAGAGCACTTAATTATGCACAGAAATAAGCCAGAGAATATGCCAGCAAAAATATATTGCCTTGCTATTATTATTCTTTCAGTTTCATACATTATAATTATTCTCAAATGCAGTTGTTTGTCACTCGCTAAATGAATAAACACTTATGTCAGATGGAAATTGTTGTTTGTAAAAATATATATAAATATATCAAGTTCAGTATTGTTCGTTATTTATTAAATTGTCGATATTTTAAAATTTATTTTGCAATATTTCATTCACAGGATACCATGAAAGGGATTTTGTAAATATGTCTAGTGTTAGTCTGCTCTTTTTTGCAATTCCTACCAGGAAATATAATATCTAGCAGCATTGCAAACTTAAACACATAATATATATATATATATATATATATATATATATATATATATATATATATATATATATATATATATATATATATATATATATATATATATATATATATATAATCACTAAAACACTTACCTCAGCAGCTGAAAAATCATGTGATGTGTGTTTGTTTACAGTCGTGCCGGTGGCAACCATCAGCATCAGCGGCGGAGGCGGTGGCGAGGCTGGGGTACGTGAGGGAGGCTCCGTCACCTTCACCTGTCACCTCAAGGCCAATCCCAGGGTCTATAACGTTACCTGGTTCCATAATGTAAGTCTACAACATCACCTGTGTCCACTGTGTCCACAGACCTATGTCACCTGGCTGTGGGCCCTTGTCCTGATACCTGGACCCACTTGGCCTGTATTACCCTGTGTCATCCTACCTATAAAAATCCCATTTAATAACCAAAAGAATGCTAACATATGTTTATTAATCTACACTCACATATATTAAACCAGAAGCTGAAGTGGTCAATCCCCTATTCAAGCTTCCTGATGCACTTCTGGTCCATTACTTGTATATCATCATTCAAATTAGATCTGCAGGTGCAGTAAATTACTTATTCCACTGTGTTCAAGTTGCAGCTACTGATGCATATATTACCTTCGATGTAATATATAAATAATTTATTAATCCTTAGTACATAGTTCTTGGTGGAGCAAATATCTGATTTCACGTAAAGGGATGGAGAGGTAGGAAGGGGTAGGGGGTGTGGAGTGGATGCATGCTGGATTTTTTTATTTCTGTCAGACAAATATTGGGAAAAGTTGAGAAAGTTCAGCTGTGGGATTACTGCTGGTTGGCTTTAGCGAAACAAAGTTAGGCGGATGTGTGTGGACAGTGTGACTCTACGACCACTTAAAGATGCACGTGTACGACTGGTGTCACTTGCATGTGTACGACTGGTGTCACTTGCATGTGTACGACTGGTGTCACTTGTAGGTTTAGTGACCTCTTTGTCTTGCCTATATAACTTTATTAAATAACCTACTTATTTTATTTACATATTGCTCTTATCTATCCAGTAAGTGTTGAAACGAACAGCCTAGTTTTTTAGCCCCAAGCCTCGACATATATAAAGAAGGTGACGTCAGTATTCTTCACACTTGACACCTTTTACGTAGTTAGAAGCAATGTGTAAGGATAGCAGACTGTTGCAAGGGTATATGCGAGTGTTGTGTGTGTGGTGGGGGAGAGGGGGGGGCGGGGTAAATGAAGAGAGAGAGAGAGAGAGTGAAGGAGAAGGCTCTTTGTAGTTTCGGAATTCTAACAGTGTGTTGGTGACAGTCAGTTGAGTTGAAAATACACTCTCAGAGACCAGATAGGTTTTGAATGAGGGACTGAATTTCAATGTGGAACTGATCAAATAAATAATGGTAACACAGGAGAGAGAGAGAGAGAGAGGTTACTGAACGATGGAAGTGAGGAAGGAGGGAGACGGTTCGGTACGGTTGATGAAGCGTGTAAGTTTAGCTTAGATTTACATGAAGTGAATTGAGGAAGAAAGGGTCTTACTCTCTTCCCCACGAGAGGAGAGCAATATCACACTTGGGAAAGATACTTGGCTTATAATAAAGGAAAAGTAAGTAAGAGATAATCAATTGTTTTGGAAGAATTTATTTTTAATTTAGAGATACGTTAACTGTAGGGAGATTAAAGAGACGATTTTCATTGTTTTGACTAATTGTGGCGACTTTGGAAGAGCGTTGATTCCAAAAGTGTTCACAAGAGGAGAAAGCCAATTGTTTTGTGAAAATCCCCAGGTAGTTTGGTGACGATAAAGGGCGATTTTAGAACAGATTGTTATCTATTTTGAACGATTTTTTGGTTATATTTCAAGACATATTTTGTTTGTCGTTAGGTGAAACAATATATTTTGAAAGAATATATTTATTTATCGTTTTAGACCTAGAAATATGATAATATCAAGAGAGAGAGAGAGAGAGAGAGAGAGAGAGAGAGAGAGAGAGATTTCCTTTTAGAATGAACTGTCTTGTTGGCTTTGGAGAATATTCGTTGATGCCAAGAGGGATTGTGAAAGACAGAGCCATCTCTTTTTAAAGGAATTTCCATCAGTCCTGAAGATACGTAATCTTCAAGAGAGGCTGTGGATTAAGGCTCGTCTTGGAATACTGATGAGGGAAGAAGGTGGCTTCATATCTTAGTTCCGAAGCCATAGTTATCCTTTCGTGTTTGGTAATATGTAAAGTTTATTATCTAGTTCATTTCTGTGGTCCCATCAAGTAGTTCCATAATGTGGTTCCATAGGGGGATTCTATAGTGTGGTTTCATAGTGCGTTTCCACGAATATTGTTCCATAATGAGGTTTCATAGCGTGACCCCATACAGTGGTTCCATATTATACTGCTTCCATAAATGCTTCCTACCCAACTTGAAATATGTGATCCCAATACTTAGGTCGAGAAATGTGGTCCCGTCGCGCTGAGAAGTTATTTTTTGTCATCGAGTAAATCCTAAGTTTTTTTTTTCTTATCCCGGTTCCATAACAAGCGTCTCGAGAGATTAAGAACGAATTGGCAGCTGAGAAAATATTAGGGATGGGGAGCTAACCTAAAATCTCCATGGAAATTATATTAAAAGATAATAAAGCTTTGTTTATGTTAGATGCGATAGTGGTAAGAAATTCGGGTAATGAAGGAGGGAAAGAAGTAGAGAGAGAGAGAGAGAGAGAGAGAGAGAGAGAGAGAGAGTAGAAAAGAGAAAGTTAAGAAAATTACAACCAAATATAAACAAAGGCAATTCCCCATGTAACGTAATTGAATGTTAATGAAACGATAATTGCTTACCCTCTCCCCCAACTCCCCTCCACGGTTACGTAGTTAATTTAAACTATACTTTGGCAGTCTGCTGACCTAGGTTGACCTTTTAGTATGCATAATGAAGGTCAGTAAGTGTAGCCGTCTAATGTGGCCTCCAAATTACATAATTATATATTCATTTTCCGGGAGGCACTTAATTTCACCGAAACTCATTTTCAGTGTGGTGGTATTAGAGTACGACCTTTAATACTGGTGGGTAGAGGTAGTTCAGGGTATAACGACCTCTAGTGGTAGTAGTGGTTCAGTGTACAGCGACCTCTAGTAGTGGTGGTTCAGTATATTGTACAACGACCTCTTGAGATGATATAGGTACAACGACTTCCAATAGTGGTTTAGGGAACAACGACCTCTAGTGGTTATGCTACAACGACCTCACGTAAAAGACAATCTGTCACAGTACGACCCTTCCTAGTGGCTTTAACACACCACCTTTATGATCTTAACAATATACAGTTTTGTTTTTCCATTGTTAGCGCCACAGTACGAGAGTCTATCATTATGGTACGGGAATGTAACCCTACCAGAGTACTAAGGTGCTAGCCCCCTCCCTCCCTCCTTCCCTCCCTCCCCTTCTCCCTTCCTCCCTCCGTCCCTCCCTCCGTCCCTCCCTCCCCTTTTACTTCCATCCCTCCCTCCCCTGACGTCCACTACCCACCACCAGATTAATTTCAGCCAGAGTGAGTTGAGTCCCTCTGGTTCCAAGTCAACCTGGCGCGGCATAAATTGACCTCAAACGAACTCACAGACTCATATGACCAGCCGTGAGGTCTCGCAGTTTTATGGAAAAAATAAATACGGCTTTAATGACACCCTCATATGCATTATTCTGCAAACCAAATGACTACCCAAAATTAATATCTTTATTCCGTAAAAAAAAGAAAAGAAAAAGAAAGAAAAAAGTGGTCTTGGTTAATATAATTTCCTCCAAGGGAATATTTTTTTTGAAAACTATTATTTTTGTGGTAATACTGTTCTAGAAAAATGCATTTATCTCTCTCTCTCTCTCTCTCTCTCTCTCTCTCTCTCTCTCTCTCTCTCTCTCTCTCTCTCTCTCTCTCTCTCTCTCTCTCTCTCTCTCTCTCTCTCTCTCTCTCTCTATCTCTCTCTCTCTCTCTCTCTCTCTCTCTCTCTCTCTCTCTCTCTCTTCTTAATGCTGACCTCACCTGTCTGTCTCTCTGAAACCCATAACCCTATTAGTGAACGCCCCAGAAAGATTATAAACCCTCACCTGGATGTTTTGTCTCCTTAGTCCTCCACTATCCTATTACACCTCTCCCACCTACTGAGATCTAATCATGGAGCCACCACTCTCCCCATCTCATGGACCAGCTGCCACAGTGCCCTGCCACAGTCCTGTTTAATTATAGACCCTTCATTATTCTCACCCCATGGACCAATTAATAAAGTACCCGTGTATAATCCTGTTTAATCATAGGGTCATTATACTCGTCATCCTGTTGTCATTATAAAAACATTCTCCTGTTAAATATCCGGGTACAGGAACTTTAATGCCAACATACATAAATAGACTTATAAAATATTCTGCAGTGACTCGGCTTTATGACATCATCCATCCTGTCTGTGGTCTGGTTGTTAAATCTACCTCATCAAAACTCAGCTTAGCTGTTAAACATTCATTCTTTTTTATTTCATAAGCAAGACTAAGAGGAAATACCATGTTAAATTGGTAATTGGAAGAAATATGTTTGTTTTTTTACTTTCAAGTTTATTATAGGAACTTTTTTCAGTCTCCTGGGAGGTTCAAAAGGAATGAGGAGTGTTATTATTGTTTTTTCTGTTTATTAGTATTTACTGATGAAACAGTTTATGTAAACTAAACATTTATCGTATGATTTCCTTTATGGACAGACATACTCTGCACCAAAATTCTCCTGAGTGACACCGTGTTTGATTCTTTCCTCCAGGGTCGGCCATTGCGACGACTTCAGTGGGGAGCGCAGGTGAGCAACACGACGCTTCGGCTACGTAACGTGACGGCGTCCATGAGGGGTTTGTACACCTGTGTGGGCAGCAACCTGGAGGGTGACGGCCAGAGCAACGCCGTCAACCTCAACGTTGAATGTAAGTACTGATTTTTCACTGCTACTACTACTTTGCCGTCACTCGTAATCGAGTATGACGATAATCGAGCTATAATACATTGGTATGAGTTATTAAGAATGTCACGTACGTTGGTGAGTTCTGAGGTGACTAAAGAGGCCGATACGGGACAGGCGGGGGTCGTTCACAGATGTTGCACACGTGGGGGGGGCTACATGTAGTGCGGGAGGGGCGGCGGCAGCGTTTTGCCGGCGTTGGCTCTTGTCTGCCTCGTTATGCAATCGGGATAACTCGAAAGTATTGACACCTTCTCGTGTGGTGCTCCTCCAAGCGTTACAGTGTGGATTAATCGACTCTCAAGTAAGGGGGGTCGATTTGGTACTTTTTCAGGTTTGTCTTTTCCGTTGCCCGCCAGTGTTACGTTTACTATTTTTCACTGACACACACACACACACACACACACACACACACACACACACACACACACACACACACACACACACACACACACACACACACACACACACACACACACACACGGGACACAAGATACACAATACACAGTGGTCAGCCAGAACTCCACTTTGTTATCATTATGGCGGCGTCTCCTGTCGTGAGCCTTTATTAACGGCCCCACACTGACATGAAGAGTCCTCCTCCTCCTTTACTTCTTCTTCTTCTTCTTCTTCGTCCTCCTGTTCCTCTTCCTCCACCTTCTCTTCGCTTGTTATAGTACTTCCCTCCATTCCCTTCTCTTCCTCCCCCTCCCCCTCATGTATACCTTATAATACCCTACTCCTCTTCATGTATTATCCTATTCTCCCTCTTCTTTTTCCTGCAATTCCTTCCTTCTCCTTTTCTTCGTTTCCTTGTTGTTTACTCTTCCTTTTTATTCTTTGCTGCAAGTAGACTTCTTTTTTCTCCTCATCTTCTCTTTCTTGTTGTGTCCTCCCCCTTCCTCCTCACTTCTCTACTTATCACCGTTTAAAGTCTTTCCTCCTCTAACCATAGGAAAGTCCACCTTTAATACTTTATCTATTCTTCCCTCCTCCTCCTCCTCCTCCTCCTCCTCCTCCTCCTCCTCCTCTTCCTCATCTTCCTCCTGCTCCTCCTCTTCCTCATCTTCCTCCTGCTCCTCGCCTTTACTCCATCACTGTTTTTTGAGTGCTTATTTTATGTCCTCGTAACTGTACTGAAGAAATGGATTTTATCTCACCGCCATCGTCACTGTATTAAGTCGCCTCGTTCATTGCCAATTTACAAGTTCGTCTTCTTCGCCGTCAGAGTACAGAGTCTTCTCACTTCATCCCCATCATCCTTATCATCCTCGCTACTGTAAGGGGAGTCATTCCTCTCCTTGTACATCGTTGCCAACATAGAACAAGTCGCCAAGTGTAGGTCACCTTCTCTATCGTCCTCCCCAGCAGTACACCAAGTCGTAACCGTTCTCATTGTTATTCTTCCCTTCAACAGTTAAGTGTCATCCTTCTTGTCACTGAAAACAGACTGGTCCTCCTCCTCATCATCTTCCGCTTCCTCCCCCTCCTCCCTCAGGTCCCCCTTCGTCGTCTCGAGTCGAGTGGGTCCTTCTGTTGGGGTGTCCTTTTCAACGTCCCTGGCTGGAGAGGCTTTAACAGCTCCGCTAATTGTCTCTAACTCACTCATGTCCCCGTCGACAGCTCAACGTCTTAGTCCAGACTGAATAAAACTTTTCACCGGTGTAAAGTGTTTGTGTCCTGAAGGGGGAGGACTGCCCGCGTCTGAGTGGAGGCTCCAAAAGTCACATGAATAAATTGCCTGTGACGAAATTTCCCCCACGAAACATATGACGTGGTCTGGAGAGTCAAAAGATGTTGTTGACGAACGCATGTTGCTCCCCCGGTTGATAAAACTCTCGTCAGCAAAGTCACTCTGGTATATTTTGCATTCCTAAGAGCATCATCATACTCAGCAGAACAAAAAATAAACAAACATCTTAAACGTTATTAGACAGAGAAGTAAAAAAAGAAAAGAAATTATCTGAGGAAATTAGAGAGAAGAAAAACAGTGATAGTAAGAAGGAAAATGTTATCTGGAACTATTTTGAAATGACGAAAAAATCTCTCGTGTTTTGGAATACTGCGAAAATGATATATGAGTGTAGTTAGTGGAGTTTGCATGTGTTTCTACCACCAACGTCAGTCTCGTGCATTTATTTACACCTATGAACAATGTCTAGGAATTTATTACGCAAAGGAATATATGATATGAAGCTGACCACGTGCCAGTGTTGAAGAGTCTTTTTAAATGTAGATTCCTATGTGTTTCATTAGTAGGTAGACTTAACTTAATCACATCTTCCCCAAAAAAGATTAGAAGATAAATAGATGATAGATTTACATAGAATGGTCAACATTATAGAAAACCCACTCCCTATATGGTATAATTCACTAGAGGACAGCAAGGTATATCGCTTTGTCCTTCACCGTCACATCGTGGTCGGGGTTATGTTGTCTAGGTTCACCAAGTGCCCACCACATCCCTGGACTTAACGAGTATGTGGACGCTGATGTAGAGCACCGGTATTACCTCCCTACCTCTCCTCCCACCGCCCCCAAGGAGGCACTAGAGGCGCGCAGACTGCCTTTTCCACTCCTTTTTACGTCGCGACAGGCGCTCGGCCAAGCTCTAGCGGTGGCCATCTTAGTGAGGTAGTGGCGGGTTGTCGGGGAGGGGGGGGAGTGCAGCTGCGGGGAAGGTCGTACTTTAAAGGAAAATGCACCGCAACACCCAAGTTCATTACGCCACTTTATAGACTATTACGGAGGTTGAGCACGCGCTGGTATGTTATGGAAAGGGTCAGGGAGGGAAGGTCAGGGAGGGAGGGTGAGAGGGAGGGTGAGAGGTGGAGTTAGGTGCCGCCTTTACCCCAGCTGATGGATAACCTCGTATACTTTAACCTTACTTTATGATGTAATTAATAAATACTAAAATTAAAACAGTAGAGATATATTTTTTTTCCCAAGGACAGTCTTTTTCATATCCATTTATATATTTTATTTCAATAGTTTAGAACAATATATAAGTGGAATAAACATAACCAAGGGCTTTAGTGGTGTTGGTCAGCATTATAACGTCCCAGAAAATGTACAAGGCATCTACAGTAGTTCCTTGAATCTTACGTATTAGAAAAAAAGTAAATAATTGGATGTTGAGAAGCGGTTAACTGGATCCTAATATTTCTTATATGATAAAATAATATATACTTGATGGCCAGGAGTAATGAAAGAATTAATAAATAAAGAGAGAGAGAGAGAGAGAGAGAGAGAGAGAGAGAGAGAGAGAGAGAGAGAGAGATAAAAGACTGGAATCTGTTTTATAATGCGCCTATTTATGTTGGCTAACATTTCAATACAATTTTTATATAGATTAAATTCCGTGTTTAATGTCTAAGCGAATCTTATGTTAATTAAAAACGTACAAAGAAAATAATCTTGGAATCCATTAAAACCTTAATATAGTTATCAAAATCCCTTGCCTTCATATTTCATGTATTTTTTTAAACCCGGCACACACCAATGTCTATTATTTTGTGTAGATGTCTGTCTGTTTGTCTCTATTTCTCTTTCTCTATACTTTGTTCAACATTTGCACTAAGAATTTTTAAGGGCGACTATTTTTGTATTGCGTCTCTTTAGTCAGGTTGATTGTCCACAAACCATATAATTTTTTGGGGGGTGAACATATATAGATTGTGTGTGTGTGTGTGTGTGTGTGTGTGTGTGTGTGTGTGTGTGTGTGTGTGTGTGTGTTTTAGCCATACTTGCAATAAGATTTTTGAGTTGCATATGTTTTGTGTGGTATTATTTTTCTCAAGGTCAGTACACCATCCACACACTGGGATTTTTTTTTTTTTTTTGTATTTTGTTTACTTTTTTCCGTCAGTCATCTGCAGCAACATAGATAAAAGTACTCGCCATTTAACAACTAACGGGTTGCCAGAGGCGAGCCAATCAGGGCTATAACTCCACTTTTCTCGTTATTTTTTTTGAAGTTTTTTTTTGGGGGGGGGGGTCAGTGAAATTTTCATTTTGTTCCTCGAGGTCAGATGGAAAACAATTCTGATGTTCGGTCTTACTTTTATTATGAAGGAAGGCCTATCATGTGAATATAGATTTTTTTTATTATTATTGGAACATTAACAAGTTTTAAAGTTCTACGATAACGAACAAGTTAAGAATAGCTACTTCTCCATTATAAAGACATCACACGTACGCAAAATACTTACATTTATATTTATATACAGAATATAGTCTACAGTAGGAACCCGGCAGCAAGCTTTAATGAACACCTCAGTCCTCAATATTCTTTGGCCTCAGGAGCGTCACAGACTATGGGAGCCTGGAGCAACAAGGCTCTGAAGTTCCACAATTAGTTGGGTTCCTAACTCACTGAAACCACCGGAGCATCGAGCTACTTGTTTCAGCGCCTGAGCATAAGAACACAAAGAGGGAACACTTGTTGCTTACTGGCATCTCGTACCTCACCTGAAGAGCTTGAGGGAGTCTTCTAACTGGAATGAGTAAAGGTGCATGTAAATAAAACAAATATAAACTCTAGTGTTTTTATAACTAAATATCGGAGGAAGTATTACGACAATAATTTAAATTTTCTGTCAATTATTCTTATTCTCTGAGACGAAGGATTTCCTAAACTTATTCAACCAGTGGTGGTATCCCTATCTATCTATCTATCTATCTATCTATTTCTGTCTGTCTATCTGTCTAAAACATTCTCTCAGTCCTAAGAAGCAGAAGAATGTAAATTTTATAAACATCAAATCTGTAAAACTAAGCAATATTTCGTAAGTTATGTTCGACCAGGGACTCATAAATTCTTAACGTCATGAGCACTCGGCAAATCCTCGAGAGCTTGACACTTGAGCTGAAGTCGGAGGAAGTGTCTTCATGATTAGGTTTTGGGTTTTCCTCTGTCAACGATAAGACATTTAAACACCCCAAACACTCACGTCGTGTTAATTA